TTGTATTCCAAATCATTTTCTAAGTATTAATTTTATTTGCAATTCCTATAGGTCCTTGCAAAGTTATAAAACTGTTAAAATGATTGAAGATTTTAATTAGAGATTCCTGCGGCTAAAGAGCTTCTTCCTTTATATTGGATATTTGTAATGAGCGGGGGGAGGGGAATGCTGCATGTTTTTAAAAATATATAAATTACAATAAAAATTCTATGTAAAATTAATGAATAATTCTCATTGAGATTTCATATTTGTTTTGCTTGCTCTAGTTATTTGTTTTGATAGAATTTTACCTTGGTTGTGGCTGGTTTCATAAATGTTGTAGTATTGTGCTATCTACCTCCTGTTTCCCCATACCCTATACCTATATTCCTCCCTCTTTTTCTTCTGAGCCCCTCTTTTCTCCCATTCAATTGTCTTTTCCCTTTCATCAAATCTCCTCCTCCAGAATAGTGTTTTGTTAGTCGAATGTTTAACTCAAAAAGTGCTCTTCTTGTAGTGATTTACACAAGACAATATTCCAAATATTTCTGCAATATTGAATGTGTATCTTATCAATGTATTTTCCATGAAAATTCAAATTCACAACTCTCACAATATAGATCTTAACTTGTTTGAATGGGACTGAAATAAAACATGTGCACATTCATGTGAAGACGCATAATAGACAGCACTATGAAGTCTGTCTTGTAATTTATTTATTTATAATGGTGTGTGTGTGTATGCATGACCAAATCAATTTAGAGAAGTCTGTCAGTATTATTGCTCATACATTGTTCATTTTTATTAATCTTCTGTTTTGTCTGCAGTACTTCTTCCCCAATTTTTAATTATCTTTCCATCTTGTTCTTCTTCATTTTAATTTTATAATCAATAAAGGATTTAATATATCATAGGAAACAGTCTGGCAAGTTTTGTGTACTTCTGCTTTTGAGGGTATTTCTCAGTCACTGTGAAAATTGTCAATTGAAATATCACCTTCTTGATTCCAAATAGTCATATAATTTTTCAGAATTAGTGTACATTTTAACTTTTTAAAGTATTATTATTATTATTATTATTATTAATAATAATAATAATAATAATAATAATAATAATAATAAAAATAAAAATAATATGGCTGGCATCATATGCAGGTACTACACTTATTATTTAAAAGATTAATGCAATGCCGTGGTGAAGGGTTTGGGTGAGCTAACTACAGATACCTCTCCCTAGACACCAGAGTGAAATATATTGAAGCATACAAGTCCCCAAATCAATCATTGTTGCCACTGTAGATTGTTGAAATCTCCCCAGGGCCTGTGAGAAATGTCAGATATTTAAGCTGATGAATTACTAAAGCACTTTAGATGGTTCAGGTGATATGTGTCGTCATGTTTACAAACTAAAGTTCTGTTGATGTAAGATGCAAAGAAGGGGAGAGTTTATGTATTAAATATATAAATTTTGCACTAATGTAAGTACTTGTACAACAAGCCTTTCACATTTCTCAGAAACCGTGCATCTGTGATGTCAGTCAATTCCAATCCAACAATGTTGGCAGTTCTACACATTCTGTTAATAGGTGTTAGCTGAATACAAATTGTTGCACTGATGAAGCAAAAATTGATCAGTTGATCTAGAATTAAATGATTGTACTCTGAAGTTCATTTGTTCAATCAGAAGAGGACAATCAAAGTTGCCGTTGAGTAATTTCCTCAAACAAATCAAATTGCAACATCCCTACATAATCTCATCACGGTACACAATCACATTGCAATCTGATCTTGCATATGGTTGATATAAGGGTCATTAAGTCCCATGGTACATGCCAATTCTGAAAAGCATGTGGTACCATTTCCATGTGTTTTATATGAACAGCAAAATATGTCTAAATCACAGGAGAATACATCACCATCGGTTTTATAATTGTCAAATATAATAATCTCAATGCCCTCAGATAGTGTAGTTAACATGATCTTCTAACTCAAATAGTTGGTTCACTTTTCTAACAGTAGACCATGTGACCATCAAAGGACATTCTAGAGTCGGCAGTTAGCCCCAGATCTCTTATTGATTTTACCCTTTGTAACACTGTAAAATATATGGTGTAATATGTAACTACTACTGTTCTGAATCTGCCAAAAGTAATAGTTTAACATTTGTTAGAATTTAGTATTAGATCATTGCTATTGCAACAGTGAACGAACTTATGCATTTTGTAAATCTATCTCATATTGTGACAATTCTATACATTTGAATGTTTTTAAATCATCTGCAAAAAGAAGATATTCCACATCAATCAATATATCATCAATGTTTTTAATAAAAATAAGAAAGACAATTCGCCCCAAATGAGAACCTGTAGTACTCCGAATAAAGCTTGAATGGCATTGGACGTTGCATTTCTATACGCTATATATTACACTTTTCCAGGTAGATAACTATTGAACCACTGTAACAGTGGTCCACAAATCCCAAATTGCTGGAGTTTTGACAAAAGAATCTAATGATTAACAGAATTGAAGAGCCTACTAAAATCAGTGTGTATGTTGTCAACCTTAAATTTGCTATGCATGTAAGATATAATATGTTTAGCTGACAAGATTCAGTTCTATGTTCTTTTCTCTCCTAAAACCAAATTGTTTCTCAGAGAGAATGGGTAGATTAAAAAAAAATTTATTCATGATAATAGATTCAAACAATTCTGATGCATAATACTCTAGATCGTAATAGATTTATAATTTGAAATAGAGTTTCTCACTCCAGCATTATAGATTAGTATAATGTGGGAGGATTTCCATTCAGTGGGAAAATACCCTTCCTGAAGATATTTATCAAACATCAATATAAAAATATGCACGAAGACAAATTTACAATTTTTGAGAAAAAGTGCAGAAATGTCACCTGGTCCTACATTGCATTTCAGATCCAGATTCTCAATCTCTCAAAGATTATCTACCTCATATTATGTGAAAGCCTTCAACCATATAAGGAGATTTATCAACCAGATAACAATTGAAGACGTTTGTATGTTGTCAATAAAACATGGGTAAATAATCAGCAAAGTCATTTACAATAGAAAGAGTATCGGTAAAAGTTTTTGTATCCCTTTGCATTATATTAGGTAATACTCTCGTTTTTTTTTTTTTTTAATTAACATACTTCCAAAAATTCTCTTGATCTATTGAAAAAGAAACAAGCACATCATTAAACTTTGTAGGTGTGTACAATATTTCATGAAATGAGAGTTGACTTGCATATGCAAGTCAGCATATGTAAAGAATACATAATTCTTATAATTGAATAAATGAGCTAATAAATACCTTGTATGTAGTAAAGAGTGTATAGCTCTTAATGAATAAATTTCAATAAATAAATAAATATTTTAAATTATTGTACTAAGAGACCAGGGATTGTAGTATTTCTCTTATTTGTGCAAATAATAGAGACATACTATTGAAATTGCTAGTCAATTTTAAAATTCAGCGTATTGAATTGAATTGAATTTGCCTTGTTTTACGTGGCGAGACTCGGGCCATCAGGCCCGCTCTTCCGTCTGACCACGCAAATTTCGCTACGTTCCTTTCACTTACTACCAGAGAAAGAAGGTATTTCTTGGGCGAGAAACAGGCGATTTTGAATTTAGATCAGAGGTGTCATTTAGGCTTGCATTTTAACATGCAAGTAAATCTACTAACATGGGACAGCCGGCTTTACTTCCCCTCCGAAGGAAGGCGTACGAAGGATTTATTCGCCCTTAAAAACCCACGGCTTCGATCGGGTTTGACTATGACTTGTATAAATGCGTATGACTTGTATAAATAATTCCCTATGGTTAATATTGTAATGATATTTTTCATATTAATGTCTTTCTTGATGTATAACTTCATGGGAAAGGGTGAAATGTACCATTAAATCTACGTGCTATAAATGTATGCATTTTACAGCATAAAATTATCATTTATATACAAGATGAGAAATTAATTTTTGAAGTATTCAGTATTAGTTCTTGTTATAAATTAGTTGGGCAGCGTTTTTTAAATTTGCTTTTCTGGTTCTGAAGGCTGAACTATAATGCCCTCTTCACTTCTGAATTCTAAATATGTGGATATTGTTTGTTTTTTCCCCATTAGTAAAGTAATGGGAAAGTAATTACTTGAGTATCACCAGTGATGTGTGACTACACAAGTGATCTCTTTATTTTCAATTTCACTCTTATACTTGTGAATATACTTCCTTTTTTAAATAGAAATAGAGTGCCTTCTTTTTAACACTATTTCATTGGGTTATTAATGTTTTTTTATTTTATTATATAAGTTAAGGTCCTTTCCCAGTATTTACTCTTTTCTGTAATTATCACAAATTTTTCTTAGTTGAAAATAATTGTAAAAGAGGGATATCACCGTTTGTTTGAAAATTGTGAGTGTATTGAATGCTTCTGTGCATATATTCCTTCTCCTTTATTCTCTTCAGTTTTAAATTATTATTTTTTTGACAACTACTACTACTACATGATAATCCTTCCTTTAATAGTACATTTCTTCTCCTTATTTATTATTATAAAAATTTGACTTTGTCCAATAGAAGAGTAAGAGTTGATTTAATTAATCAGTTTATTAAGATTATTCTTGTTGATTTAGTGGAACCCTTTTTAATTGAGAGAAAACTGTTGACGTATGCTTTTAACTGTAGTTGGTTTGTTGTGGCATCAACTAAGCATCTGTGTTACAAATTATGAGTTTTTATGTCATATTGTTTGCCTTTTTCCTCTTTCATTCCCTTATGCGTTTTAAGTTGTAATAAAATATAGCCCTTTGTATTATTCATTATAAATCCTTTTCTTTAATCGGTAGTGTTTGCATCTGCCAGGTTCTCAGTAATGCTAACAAATTGTAACATGTGTTTGAGAAATGTGAATTATTGTATATTTGTGGCTTTTTTTAATATTTCAACATCATTATTGCATGTTGCGTATTACTTGCCGACTAATTAAATTGCAGTTGTATATCTGTTTTCAGGGGATAATTTGGGCTGCTTTGGGGCCAGTAAAAAGAAGAAGGATGCGCAGCCTGTGCAGCACAAAGAAACAGCAAGTGGCAGCCGGAGCGCTGGACAGCGTATGGAGCCCGCCAAGGGCATGGAGCTGCTCTGGCAGCCAGAGGTAATGTTTCTCTTAAAGCCGGGATGCACCTGCCATAACTCTTCTTGTTTATAGTAATGAAAGACTACATATTCAGGGAGAATATTCGGGTTCCTGTACTTTAGATATAATTCACTAAAGTGTGAACACATTCTATATTTTCAGGCTTCAGTCTTAACTTAGTTTGTAATATCAGGATGACCACTTTCTGGGAAAACTAGCCAAGTTATATCATTGATCTAAAAACAATCTGGGGATTTTCAAGGGGATCCTTAGGGGGTCTGGGAAATTTTAGAGATGATTTTAAAAAGAGATTAATATAGACAATTATGTATGTATGTTATTTTTGTCACAATTTTATATGTTATGGACATACTGTGAATTTTGTGTTCACGTGAAACCAAAACACAAACAAATAGACAATGACACTACCAGATGTTTGTTGTCATAGGGTTTGTATCTCTCTCACACATGACATATTAGTGCCAGAGAATCTGAAAGACCGCAGAAAAGGGCCCAGTCCTTATTAGTTTTAATATTGATCCAAGCCTTTTCTATCTCTTTTTGTCTCTCTCTCTTTCTATCTCTTCCCTGACTTTTCAGCCCC